AGAGACCAGGTGACACCCCGCCGTTACATCATCGCGCATGCGCGGTCATGTTATTGATGCCTGCCGGCGGCCATTTTGGTGATGGACCCCGGCAGAGAGAAATGGGGACGTTCACCCGGCGGGATGAGGTATGCCGCCGGGTCCCCTCCTCTCTCCTGACACTGTCGGGCTCTCGGCCCATGAACGAGTGCACGACTTTTCGTGGGGGGGTGACACCAAAATGACAGTGGTGGCACTGAACCCTCTAATGGTGGCACCCGGGCGCGGGCTGCACCCCCCTTGTGACGCCACTGAGGAGCAGCATCCCTTGTAAGCGATTTTTATCAGCATTTGAAATAGATTAAACCTGCAGACTTTAAAGGAGAACTATGAGGTCGGGGCTTTTCCCCCGTAGATCTCCTCAGGGTAACGGGAGGACACAAACTAGCGTCCTCCCGTCACCCATTCAGAGACTGATCCGTTCCAGATACCGGCGGCGTCCTAACGTGCCAAGTAATCACATGATAAGATTCCCTCCAGGCGAATTCTCGTTTTCCGGAGAACATTGAAGCGATCTTCAAGGAAAACTGCTCGTGTTCTCTGTTTTATCTACTTGTGTCAATGGCGGTCACCCTGCGGGCTGTGCGTTGTCTGACATTCCCCGGGCCCATCCTGCGTTCCGTGAGGTCTGGATGGAGGGAGCGCCCGGCGGGGCCAAGTGTGCCGAGTTATTATGCAATGCCGTTTATTAGATAGCGCCGTGCTGGATTCCGGGCGCTCTGCGCAGGATGACCGGCCAGATCATAAGAGACAAAAGTCTGTCATTGTAACCAGGGATGCACCAATAAAGATACTGGTATCGGTGCCGGTGCCGAGCACTCATACTCGGCCCAAATACTCCGATGCCTAGCCCGATACTTCCGGTATCAGGAAGCCGGGCAGCAAACCATTACACGGCGCCCGGCTTCCTGATCCCTCGTCACTTGGAAGCCAGGTGCCGTGTAATGATGCCGTGCCTGGCTTTCTGATTGGTCGGGAAGCTGGCTCCATGCACCCTCGTCGTCTCATGACGAGGGAGCATGGAGCCGGCTTCCCGGCCAATCAGGAGGCAGGACGTCGCGTCATTACACGGCGCCCGGCTTCCTGATTGGCCAGAAAGCCGGCTCCATGATTTCTCGCGTGGGGGCGGCTTCCCTGATAATCAGGAAGCCAGGAGAGACACAAACTACTGGAGGGAAAATCTCATCATTGTGGGAGGGGGCAGAGACACAAACTACTGAGAGGAAAGCTCACCATTGTGGGAGGGGCAGAGACACAAACTACTGGGAGGAAATCTCACCATTGTGGGAGGGGCAGAGACACAAACTACTGGGAGGAAATCTCACCATTGTGGGAGGGGCAGAGACACAAACTACTGGGAGGAAATCTCACCATTGTGGGAGGGGCAGAGACACAAACTACTGGGGGAAAATCTCACCATTGCGGGAGGGGCAGAGACACAAACTACTGGAGGAAATCTCACCATAGTGGGAGGGGCAGAGACACAAACTACTGGAGGAAATCTCATCATTGTGGGAGGGGCAGAGACACAAACTACTGGGGGAAAATCTCACCATTGCAGGGAAATTTCATCACTGGAATCTTTAAATCTGAACTCCAAGTCATCATGTCCAATGCAGGTGGGACCGAGGTACATAGTTGGTTCTGCCAATATGTCCTACCTGACAGCACAGCTACCCAGAGCATGTGGGGTCCCTGGTGTGTCCCCTGCGGCCACCTCCTGCTCTCTGCTCCTGGACATCCCATGCTGTGTTTTTAGCAGCACCAGTGGACCTATACTAAGGATG